CACTAAATAACATTCTCTTTCATTCTGTAATATTATTATTATTATTAATCAAACCCACTACTCCCTCTTTTCTTTGATGGGCCTTTTCTTTTATGGGCATGATAACCGGTACGTGCGTCCTTTTTAGTCCACGTCCTCTCAAGACTCTAATGCTCACACCCGAAATGGACCGGACTTTCTTACGACATTCTGAACCCAGCTCATATATCGCTTTAATGAGCGAACAACCCAACCCTTAAAACATACTACAGTGTCCCAAGTGGTGAAAAGCCGTCATTGAGATGCTAAATCTTCCCGTCGATGTGAGCTATTGGGGAAGATCAACTTGTTATTTCTATAGTAACTATTATTCGTTAAGCCACGACTTTTACTTGGCATTGTAAATCACTAAGGCCGAGTTTTGTCCCATTTTTTGTATTACCTTATTTCAATTTTTATTCAGTAAATAAGATTAAGATTAATTTAATCGAATAAGATACTATATTTTTAAATTTTCTCGGTTGAATTTCTTCTTATGCGGGCACCGAAAACAAAGAACAAAATCCTTCAAACTTGCGAAAAATATACTATTTATTACCGTAAGAAAAAAAAACAAGGTAAGATATTTAAATTATTTATATATTAATTTTTGTGTCTAGAAAATGCTTAGAAAGTATTCCAAATATTTATATATTGGTTTTTGACGCCAGGAGGATAAAAGTTGAAGCTCAAACTCTAAGAGTAGTCCCAACTATAACGCCTACAAGTTTGAATCATTATATTAATTTTTTTTGTTGACATTTTCATGAAAATCAATATAATGGCTTACTAATTTGTTTTAAAAATTATAACNCACTAGATTCTAAGATTCGCATATCAACACTAAACCATTATATAATAATCCATTGATGAACCCATGAGATCGCTTCCGAGTACCGGAGCAGGAGGAGGAGGAACGGGTATTTCTCCAAAAATGTTTTCTTCAATCTCTTTGTATTTGGAGAAACTTTCTCTGATCTTCACTCTTTGCCTCTCCTCCGGTAAACAAAGACTAAACTCTGGATAAATGAGAGGGAACACTATCTCCCTTCATTCAACCCTTTGAACGAAATGTAGCAAAAGGAAGGAAAAGACATCCCTTTGTATTTGGAGAAACCATATTTATAAACCTCAAAAATATTTAGTGCACACCTCCCCCTTCTGCTTCGCTTGCCAAACATTATTCTCAAACTAAGTGTTTTTCTTTTTATTCTTTTCTTTCCTTATTTATTTATTTTTTCTACCAATTATTTTGAAACCTTTTCTAATCATAATTTCAATTAACTAGAATAATTTAGTTTTGGTTTACTCATCTACAAGGTTGAATCATTATATTAATTTTTTTTTTGTTGACATTTTCATGAAAATCAATATAATGGCTTACTAATTTGTTTTAAAAATTATAACAACATATTTATTTATTAATTTATAGTTTTCAAGTTTTTTTAAAGTATGTATGTAATATTTTTATAAAATTATTTCAGTGAGCAGCTCTGCTTTAAACCTTGGCCCGAGTCCACCGCCAGATACAAGAAAACGGGAGTCTCACACCAAAGGGTTTTTAGGGTTTAACACCAACGTCTCTGCCGTGGCTATTTCCATCCCCCCTCCTTTCCTCTCTTACACCTCTGCTACTAACCCCTTCACTCCTATCATCATCTCATCTCATCATGTGGGCTCTTCGTAGAGCTTCTACTCCTCTCAGGTATGCTTCTCTTCTTCTAACTGCACCTCTCCGCTTCTTTATTCCTTGATGCCAACACTCGCCACCCGAATACGTTTGTTTTCAATCTTGTTTTCACTTTACACTTCCCTTCTTTCAATGGGTTTCGCTTTCGTTCACTATTTCTTCAACTAACATTCTTGCTTGCCTCTGATCGACTTTCCGGTGCTCATTACAGAAGGAAATTAAGTAGAAAGTTGTGTGCCATTTTTTCTCTTCCGTTTCTGGTTTTATTCGCATTCAAGCTCAAATCTGAAGCTTAGTTATTTCTACAATTTAAATGTTTCTGGGTTTCACAATCTATCTTTATAGTTGTCGGCCTATTATCAAGGGGGCATTTCCTTTTTTCTCTGTAAGGAAGAAGAAGTTTTGGAGATGGCAGTTCCCCGAAATCATCCATTATTAATCATTCAAACGACTGTTTTTGTATGTATGTATTTCTGTATTTATGTATTTCTGTATGTATAATATATGTGCGTGTATATTGCGGTAACCGGTGCGGAGGGTACGATACCTCCAATTTTTCATATCCCTCTCTGAATTTTTTGTGTTCTCTTTCTAGGAATCAAGGATATAGAATAAGAACTTCGTACGTCTTTGGCAAACTAGAGGCGCCATATTCTTGGGAAGGAAATATAGTTGCTTCGGCTATCATCCCTGCTATATCTGATGGATGCATTTCTTTTGAGAGAAATAGCCTTGCAACATGGCGGCCCTCTGGGCTTTCTATTAGTAGCCATGGTCTATCTTCACAAGCTGGTGCTGAGAACAGTGGAGAGGAAGATGACTTGGAAGATGGGTTTTCTGAACTTGAAACACTTCCAAGCACTGATGCACTTGAAGATAATAAAGCAGCTGATGAAAATGAAGGGGAATTAACCTCTGAATCAGAACTTGATGATGATACTGTCGATGCTGGGACTCAAAATGAACTGGATTTACCTGAGCTTGAAACTGAGCTTGCTGAAAAGATACCAGCGAAAAGGGCTCCTTCAGAGCTGTTCAAGGCTATTTGGAGTGCTCCGGGTTCATCTGTTCCCAGTGCACTTGACAAGTGGGTCAGTGAAGGAAAAGAATTAAGCCGTGCTGACATCTCTCTGGCTATGCTCAATCTTCGCAGACGTCGAATGTTTGGGAAGGCTTTGCAGGTAAATTGACTTGATTTTACTTTTTCAAGCAATGGAATTCATTCGTATGGTTTTAGGTTTTGTCGCGCTTGGGATTTCGGTTCATTCGTATGGTTTTAGGTTTTGTCACTCTTGGGATTTCAGGATGGTAATATTGATAAATCTCTTACAAATACAAAATGATTTCAGGATGTATTTGTTAGTTGATTAAAATACAAATTTTAGGCTGGTAATCAGTAAACCCGAGTATGTGGATCAATTTTTTAGAAGTACCATTATCAAATGCTTCTATAGAAATTTGTTAAGCTGGCTTATGGCATTCAATAAATGGTGCCAGGACTGCGTATAGAATTTTCACATGGTTTGATATTAGGTTGAGCTGCATGTAACTGCTTGATTTATTAGTATATATGAATTTTGCATTTATTATTGTTAGTCTTATAAAGTCATTATTGGCAAGAAAATGGTTGTGCGAGTTTTAGCTATTTTATTGGTAAAGAATATTGTAGCTACCGTGTTTTTTAAAAATATTTTGCCTATTTGTTCAACATTCTTATTCATCATTTCTTCAACTCATTACTTGCATTGCTGTATGGGTTTCACAGTTTTCAGAGTGGTTGGAAGCAAGTGGACAACTTGAGTTCGTTGACAGAGACTATGCTTCTCGCCTTGACTTGATTGCAAAGGTACATGGTCTCCATAGGGCAGAAGGTTACATCGCTAAAATCCCGAAATCATTCCAGGGGGAGGTGATATACCGAACTCTTTTGGCTAACTGTGTGGTCGCCAACAATGTAAAAAAAGCAGAGGAAGTATTTAACAAAATGAAGGACCTTGAATTTCCAATCACAGCCTTTGCTTGCAACCAGTTGCTTCTTCTTTACAAGAGACTTGACAAGAGGAAAATAGCCGACGTTCTGTTGTTGATGGAGAAAGAAAATGTCAAGCCTTCTCTGTTTACTTACAAGATCCTAATTGATGCTAAAGGCCTTTCAAATGACATGATGGGTATGGAACAAGTTGTTGATACAATGAAGGCTGAAGGAATCGAACTTGATGTAAATACACTTTCCATATTAGCGAAGCACTATGCTTCAGGTGGGCTTATAGACAAAGCCAAGGCCATCTTAAAGGAGATGGAAGATGTGAGCTCCAAAGAATCTAGATGGCCTTGCAGAATTTTACTTCCCCTTTATGGAGAACTACAAATAGAAGATGAAGTGAGGAGGGTCTGGAAGATCTGCGAGGCTAATCCTCGCATGGATGAATGCATGGCTGCCATTGTTGCATGGGGAAAGCTGAAGAACGTCCAAGAAGCAGAGGAAATTTTTGATAGAGTTTTAAAAACATGGAAGAAGCTTTCCTCGAAACAATACTCTACCATGTTGAAGGTCTATGCAGACAATAAGATGCTGACGAAGGGCAAGGATCTAGTCAAGCAGATGGCAGACAGCGGTTGCCGAATCGGTCCATTAACATGGGATGCAGTTGTGAAACTCTATGTGGAAGCTGGGGAGGTAGAAAAGGCAGATTCTTTCTTGCAGAAGGCAGTCCAGAAAAACCAGATGAAGCCATTGTTTACCTCTTACATGGTTATCCTGGATCAGTATGCAAGGAGGGGTGACGTCCACAATGCAGAGAAAATGTTTCATAGGATGAGACTATCAGGTTACGTGGCTAGATTCAGCCAGTTTCAAGCTCTAATACAGGCATACATTAATGCCAAGGCTCCAGCCTACGGCATGAAAGAGAGAATGAAGGCAGATAATGTGTTTCCAAACAAAGCTTTGGCAGGAAAATTAGCCCAAATCGATGCATTCAGGAAGACAGCAGTGTCGGATTTGCTTGACTGAGGAATTTAATTTGATACTTGGGAATGTATAAACTCCTCGGATTTCAACTCTATTTTACAAATCAAGTATTTGTTAGTTAATCTGATGGCTGCGCTTTGAAATTTGACATCAGCATACCTGTTAGGACAAACAGAACTACATAATGGATTGTGCTGCACGTGTTTTACAACATATTTTGTTTGTTCGAATACCCATTATTACCAAGAACACTCTGGTTTTGCAGTAAACTCAAAATGGTTTACTTACTCAAAGAATATTATTTGAAAATAAATTATAATATGATCCCTGGTGTAGGCTGATGTAATACAAATGTAAGTTACAATACAACCTATTTTCCCATTCAGTTCTGTGAAACATCACCTGAAAAGATTATTGTAATAAGCCATACAATATCACCAACCGACACTGAACAACTGAAAATGTGAAAGCTATATATATGTATATATCAATCACAAACTTCACCCTACACCACCATTACTCATCTTCATCCATTGTACAATTCCTATGACAGAAGCAGCTTCATCCAATGAAGCAGTGCAATTCTGTGTGGTCGCACACTTTAAGGCACTTGTTTGATAAATTTGACAGATTAACTAGAGATAACTCCCATGCCCCTTTCACTCTCGTGGCCGTGCAAGCCAGAGAGAGCTTAGAGCTCGAAGGCGGGAGAAGTAGTCGTTTATTGCAAGAAGCGCACGAGCCGATTGACGGGTTGTCAATATGCGATGCATTTGTTGAAGTGTTTGTTGACGAAGATTATCGGCCTGCAAGTTATAGAAAGAGAAGGAAAAATGAAAGTGAGAAAACATGGACAAAGATTTCAACTTTACTTGTTCGTTGCATAAGCAAGGTATAAATGTAACAAGATGGAACAGAGTGACATAAAATATAAAACCAAATTACCTGGCGTAGGAAGCCATCAAGAGTTCCAAGCTTTCCCATTGCCATGGCCATTTGACCCATATAATTAGCCACATTACCTGATGACCCCGACGTAGCAGGCGTGCCACTGGCCAACGTTTCAGCCAAGGATTGCTGCAATGCATCCATTCCTTGTGAGAGAGCATCTTCTGCCTGTTGTGATAATTGTTGCAGGTTGCAGATTTCCGCTACTTGCTGCTCGGTCAAAGGCTCCAATTGGCTTACAAGAAGCTGCATTAACTTCATGTAAGCACCAACCTATAAATGTTTTCTTCCTCTACTTTCATATGCTTACCACCTACATAATTTCTTACCTTTAGGATCTCAGATGAACGGAAGCCACCAATCCACAGGAAACACCGCTCTGCTGGTGTCTTCCACATTCCTGACAAGATGTGGAACACATCAGCTTTGGCTGCAATGCCTTTCAACCTGAAAATATCATCGAACTGTGCAGTCACATTATCAACAACCGTTCGCAGTTCAGTGTCACCCGCGTGTGAATTAACTGCCGCTCTAAGCTCATTTATCAGCCTGTTATGCTCCTCTAACCAACGTGAATATTCTACATCAAATGCTAGTGCACCTACAAACACAAACAAGAAAACATATGACAGTGAATCAAAAAATGTTTAAACACACCCTACGAAGACAAATTCACGACTTTGAATATTGTAAAAAAGTCATTCACATCAAAACCTTATAAATTATCAAGAATGACATTCAACTCATGATGAATTGAGAACAAACGCAGCAGGATAACTCAACAACTGATATGTTAAAAAAGTCACGTGCATAAAATGCTAACTGAAAAGGCTTGAATACCATTTCCACTCATGGAATGAGCTTGGTCTCCAGAACTTGAAATGAAGATACCCTGCATAAATTGTGGTGGAAGATTTAAGTAAAAGCATGCAACTCAGAACTTTCCAACTAAATTGGAAAGATTATGTACTATGATGACCAAGCACAAAAATATAGATAACTCAACCTGCTGACGGGCTCGCTGAAGTTCTTGCTCGAGCTGAGTAAGCTTCAGCCTGCTACTTTCTAGCTGCTGCACATATGCCTATGAAAAGGATGTAAAGTGATAAAGAAATATTATTGAGATTCATAGCATAATATGATCAAACTCGCTGAACATTTCTAAGCAACTAAAAGTCAATATCAGTTATAAAGCACAACAATCTGCAACCATCATTGAAGCCAAATTCTTCAGAAAAGGTACAGCTTGTTCGATACTACATGGATTACAATTTTTAGATAATTAGTAGAAATAGAAATCAATGATAATGGAAGCTTACCTTTTTCCTTAAACGACTTTTTCTAGCAGCTTCACGATTTTGGGCCAGCCTTCGTAAGGTCTGAAAGGGATGTCAAACAACATATTATTTGATTGAACGAGCTCCTATTTATCCATCAACATGTTCAGACAAGAATGTAAAGATATTTCAGTTTAAAATATAACCTTCTGATCTGCTGTTTTTTCCTTCAACTTGTTGTTGAGTTTCCTTGATCATTAGAATATTATAAATATCTGAAAATCATTAGAATGTTATAAATACGACAGGGGATATGTGAGTGTAATAGTCTTCCTTATTTAACAAAATCTCTCGTAATTATGTCCAAATTTAGGTCAACTTAGAAAAAAAAATAATTAAAAATATTTTTGAATTAATAAAATAAATAAATACTTGAAATAAACACATTCAAAGGTTTGACGAAGGGATGAATAATGCTATAAAATGAGGCTTTCCTCAAATTTTCTCCCCTGAAAACGGAGATGGGGTTGCAAATTGGGGATCCGAATACGTGCATCAGGGGCTGCTGCTCCAGCAAATCCATTCCTCTTCATCTTCCACCTTCCGCATTCTCGCTCCTCTCCCCAATTGCCCGAGGTAACCTCTGAATCATCATCCTTTTCATTCACTCAACGCCTTGCTGACAGATTGGATTCATGTAATGGTCACGCAGGGGCGGAGAGTACTGTGTATGAAGGAAGGTTGGATGGTAAAAGAGTTGCTATAAAGAAGCCCATCTTGTCTACTTCCGACGACTTGGACAAGTTTCATAGGGAGCTTCAGATACTATGGTCAGTCCCTCTTTCTCTCTCTCTCGCTCTGTTTATATTCGATGGGTCCTTGTTTTTTTTTTTTTTTCTTTGTGATAAGCATTGATGATAATGGGTGCGTTTTTTTTTGAAAAAACTTTTTATAATTGTCAATTTTTGTTTCCATGAAGCGAATTAGATCATCCAGGCATAGTAAAACTTTTCGCAGTCAATGCGAGGCCACCGAACTACTTGTTTTTCTTCGAATTCTATGAGTTTCCGAATCTTGCGGAGAAATTGCATGCTGAAGAATGGAATCCGAGTATCAATCAGGTGCTCACGATTACTATAGAGTTAGGTAATGTTTTTCCACTATCAGTTTTGATAACATGTTCTTTTTTCTTTATTGTCTTGTACAAAATCAACAATAAAACTTGTACAATTAGGCTTGTGTTCTTTTTTAGGTTTAATTAAACATGCAAATTTAGTTTCATTATTCTACTTCCAATTTTGCTCTTCCAGCCAAGGCTTTGCAGTATTTGCATAACTTGGGGATTGTGCATAGGGATGTGAAACCAGCAAACGTTCTTGTAAGTTTCTTCCACAATTACTTCGTTAATTTGGTCATTTACTTGCCCTAACGATGTGATAATTTCCAAGTGGCACGGCCTTTGATTGGGTGTACTTGACAGTGGCACTAAGCATTAGTGGGGTTCTGATGCAGCTTGGCAAAGATTTACGTCCATACTTGGCTGATTTTGGTTTAGCAGTACACCAGAAACATCTGAAAGGAATCTCCGCAGAAAACTGGAAGTCATCTGGGAAGCCAACAGGTGGTTTCTATAAGAAAAGCATGGTTGGGACACTCATTTATATGGCACCTGAGATATTGAGAAAGGAAATACATACAGACCTATCAGATGTCTACAGTTTTGGCATCTTAATGAAGTACGACTTCTTAATACTTGCATGACACCTGAGATATTAAGGAAGGAAATAATTTGCTACTATTTTGCTACCTAATATCCACTCAACAATACCCACCTCATGCAGCCGATTTGGCTCCTATGTAGTTGCATGTTAATACACATACTCGAATCTTTAAAATAAATGTTTCGAAAGTTGAAGGACCTAAATGAAAGAATTATGAAACTTCAGGGATTAAAATGGGACATAAACCATCAAACTTTTGGGTTCTTATAAAGTTGGTTGACCTCTGTCTTCTCATTTTTTTCTGAAGCATCTTTCTGTTTTTCCACATAAATCTTGAATCCTTGACTTTCCTCCTACTGCAGCGAGCTTTTGACTGGTGTTGTTCCATATACTGATCTTCGAACTGAAGCACAGGTCAGATATGTTGAACTAGTTAATTCTTTTACCAATGACATTCAAGTTTCGATTTAATCTCTTAACCTTTTTAATTATTCCTTTTCTGTAAGTAGTCATCAAATGTTGCTAGCGGCAAGTTTGAGGCATGATACTTGGTGAGTTGACAAAAATTTAGAAGAAAATTGAAACCTCCTAATAGAGGAACAAGAAATTGGAAATTTTCATGTACCATATCACGCAAGATCATGATCAACCACATTTAATATCTATGAATGGAAATGGTGTAACTGAAAGAAGTAAAGTTCAAGGGACCAAATTAAAACATTTTAAGCAATAGAAACTAAATTGGAAAACTAACCCCAACAGTGGTGGATTAAAATATATATTTTAGCCTTATCGAGAAAAAGAAAAAGAAAAGGAAAATAGCTTGGATTGACAGGCATTACTTCATATTTAGCATTGATGCATCAGCAGATGCGGTTCATCTTGCCCTTTTTATAGTACTTGATGGCTAAATGAATGGTGCGCATTTTGATTGGGCAGGCCCACACTGTACTGGAAATGAATTATACGGAGCAGCTGCTTACCGCAGCTATTGTCTCAGATGGCTTGCGTCCTGCTCTTCCTAATGATGAGTCTGGCGCACCATCAAGGTTGTTGTCACTTATACGAAGGTGCTGGGATGAAAATCCAAAAAATAGACCATCTTTTTCTGATATAGTTGTGGACCTAGAGTCAATTTGGGAGGACAGAAAGGGTTTAGAATCTGTCACCCCTATGCATCCCAATTTGTGTGGTAGTGTTAGTGATGCTAGTGAAAATGATTATGCATATCAAGAAGATATTAATTGGTCAAATCAGGGCGAACAGTTTTCTAGAAAGGCTTCTAATGCAGATGAGTGTGCTGTGAATGTTTGGCTTGATTCCTCATCCGATCATTCGGCATACCGCCCAATACTTTCTTGGGGATCTTTTTCCACTTGTGGCAGGAGGGAGACCATGGAGGACTCTCATTTCCTCTTGCCTAACATGTGTAACAAAGAAGACATCCATGCTTTTGGAATCTTTGATGGTCATAGAGGTTTGTAATTGTAATTTCTTTTTAACTATTGTTCCTCTGACAATACGCTGTTGCTTTAGTCACTTCAATGCATTACAAGTGCGTCAAATGCCTAATGTTATAGCTTTAAAGCATGCAGGTGCAGCAGCTGCTGAGTTTTCAGCTCAAGCTATTCCTGGATTCTTGCAAACGTCATGCTCCACAACAAGGTTTTCATTCTTTCTTCTAGTACTCTCCAATTTTTATCATCCGGCATTTTTTCTTTTCATCTACTGAGATGGAATCTTGTGTGTGCAGTCCTGTGGATGCATTAAAGGAAGCATTTGTAAAAACAGATGTTGAGTTTAGAAAAGAACTCAATTTTTTTCGCAAATCCAAGAAAGTTAAACAGAAAGACTGGCATCCTGGTTGCACTTCTGCTGTTGCTCTAATTGTTAGAGACAGGCTTTTTGTTGCCAATGCTGGTGATTGCAGGACAATATTGTGTCGGGCTGGTGATCCCGTCGTTTTAAGTAAGGTGGGTTTTGTGTATGCTTTTTGCTTTTCTAAAATCTTTTATTATATTAACATATCAGAGAGGTAATAAACATTTTGTATCAGGATCATGTCGCTAGTTGTGTCGAGGAGCGAGAGCGTGTCATCAAGGCTGGAGGGCAGGTCAAATGGCAAGTTGATACATGGAGGGTTGGTCCGGCTGCTCTTCAGGTCTCTCTTTTCATATGGTGGTGTTGTATCTGCATACTGAAAACGATATTTGTAGTAGTTGTTGTTTTGTCATTAAATAATGTTTTGAACCGAGTGTTTTGAGGCTGAACAGGTGACTCGTTCAATTGGCGACGATGATCTGAAGCCGGCTGTGAGTGCAGAACCTGAGATAACAGAAACTGTTTTGAGTTCACAGGATGATTACCTGGTAAGATTAGTTTTCGAGTTATGTTTCATTTCAAAGAATTGGTAATTTTGATCCATTTGTGTCGATCATGAAAGCATGAGGATGATGGTGTGGTGCATATCTCTCAGGTTATGGGGAGTGATGGGCTATGGGATGCCCTGAGCAACTCTGAGGTGGTGGGTATCATCAGGGACACGGTGAAAGAAGCGGGAATGTGTTCAAAGCGGCTTGCAACAGAAGCAGTAGCCAGGGGGAGCAAGGATAACATTACGGTAATTGTTGTATTTTTACATCCAGTATGTACAGTAGAGAGAATTTATTAAGTGGTGGCCCACCTCTTCTACCTACCACACACACAATTTGTTCATAATATACAAATGTTGTATTATTTGTTGAGTACCAGAATTACAAATTACTTGTGATTAGAATTTTAGTTTTATGGGTTTCAAACTTCAATTTCATCCAAATTACTTGTGGTTTAACTCTATTTTCATTTAAATAGATTCTTTTAATTACAAGTTTGTTTGGTTGCACAATGTGATTTTACAAATAGAGACTAAATAGAGCTACGAGGACCAACAAAGAAACAAAATTTTGATTATTTCATAGTTCAATCTTGAACTTTTATAATCAATCATATCAATTTACATCTCTTCTCAAATTACAATTTGGACTTTAATTAGAAATGTATAAGAAGGGATTTAGGAAACAAAATTTAAAATACATTATTTATCAATATAAGCATTAAATAATGAGATAAAAACTCATTCTTCTTTCTTCTTAAGCCGTTTTCCAAATTTTTAGAGATGAGAGAAATAGTCTATTTAATTAGTTTAAATTATATATTTAGTGACAAATTTGTTAAAAAGTTGTATTTAATAAACTGTTAATTTTTTTATTATCATTTTTTTTTTTGGTTGGTTAATTAACGAACTATTTCTCAAAAAGATTATTTATTTTTTTAATTTAAGAATTAAATAGAAATAAATTAAAATAAATAATTTGAAAAAAAGGGGGGCAGGGAGGGAAGCAGAAGATCAACAAGGGGAATCGCGGACTGCAAAAAGTAGAGAAGAATTAAAGAGAGAGAGGGAGGGTGTGGGCCCCACATCTCCCGCCTTTCCTATAAAAACTAAAAAGCATGTAACGTATCACCCAACCATCCCAAAACAAGCGCGCCTATTCCTTTGTTTGCCTCACTCCATTTCTCCTCCTTCCTTTTGAACTTTCCCTCTCACAAATCACACAGAGATTCATGTGAACTTCCCTGTAACGCTGCTTCGATCAACAAAAAAAAGTGTACGAGTATCTACTTCCGGTGTGTGCTTCAAACTCTCTGGTATTTTCTCCTTCATTTTAGCGCATTTCTTCTCTTTCTTTTCATATCTCTCTCTTTTAGTTGCGTGTTTGTTTGATTCATTGCCGGAACTCGCTCGGAAGTACTCGGTTTGGTGTTCGAGGTTCTAATTTGATTACTTTTTTGTTTTTTTTTTTTCTTTTGTAGGTGTTTTGCATAATGGAGAAGAAGGCTACCCTGGCAGCTGCGATGGATTGGAGACTGAAAATCAAGAACGAAACTGGACAGAAATTTGTCAAGTCTTTGTAATCTCTGCAAACCTAACTGATCATTCAACTATTCTGTTTTTTCCTCCTTTCTAAATTCTATTTTGTTTTATTTATCGTTTGTTTGGAGTTTTGGAGATTGAATTAGGAGAGTGACTGGAAATTTGTGTTGGCTTCTTGGAATAATGTGCTGATTAGTCTAGTTTAATTCGGTTACTATGGTGATTGATATCGATTACTTTGTTTAAGAAGCCGCATTTATTATTTTCTGACCAGAACTAATTTTTCTGTAACTACTCTTTGAAGAAGCCTCATTTTCCTGGTTCGATTGTTGACTTGGAAATTTCGTGGCCTTGTTTGAGTTTCTCTTTGCCGTTTCGAATTCTATTGGATTCTTGTAATGTATTAATCTGTAGTGTTGAATTTGATTGCTGCTGGTTGAGCTTGATTTCTTCGTTTGAAAAGATAGATTTGTCATTAGCTGATTGCTACTAAATCTTTCGAAATGGTTGATGGAAGAAGAGTTTTTCTGATTCTATCATTGACTTGAGAATTCTAACGCATTGTTTAAGTTTCTATTTACTGTCTTGGATTTTAATGACAACAGCGTGACGTTGTAGATACGCAAAGTTGAAGGAACAGTGGTCTGCTTGCCGTCCTGATGCCTAAAACAAATTACTAACCTTGCGATGGAACACGAGAAGAAGTTGTTTAAAAATGCAAATTCTGAGGTATATTAGTAAACTTTCCATGTTTTCTGATATGAGAACTGTTCTTTTTCCCTTTCTGACTTTTTGGATGCACTTGTACCATACTAATCTTCTAAGTTTTCACTTTGTTCCAATTTGCAACATATGTAATCTTCTTTTCTTCTTATTGCTTATGCCTCTCAGGAACAACATATTCCGCAGTCACTGTCACAGCCACACGAACGACTACATGGACAAAAACTGAAAGTCAGACAGACGCATCAACAATATGTTATGCATAATCAAAGCTGTGTTAAACCACAGAATATACTAACTGCACCATGTCGACCACAGGGTTTCCAGAGTCGAGCTTTTGGAAATCATATGCCCCCAGAAATGTTCACACAACATCCAAAAGTTGTGAACTTGCAGCCAAATGAGAATTTGAGTGCCCAAGTAAAAGAGGTATTTGATTCTGTCTATAATCAAATCTCAGTTGAGCATTTGTAACTAGGTATTTGGTTGTATATCTATATTATACATATTGCTACGAAAGTCAAGCCTTACATAACAGGAAGTGATTGATGAAGATTTTATTGGCTCAACATTCTTACATCAACACTATTCTGCGATTGAGCAGCATAAGCAACACCAGTCGGTCGGAGCTTCTGCAGGTAAGTTTAAGGTTCTGAAGAAAAATTCTATTTGAAATCAACACTACGATTTAAAGCCAAATATAGATGGAGAATGAAGAAGGATTTTGTCTTAACAATCTGTTTCTTTTCTTCCATTTACCTATTGAATGCATGATATTTATAAAGAAAATGTTTGCATCGTATTTAATCGCAATTTTTGAGCTTTTTGTATGCAAGAGTTAAAGCTTGTGAAATCAACACCATTTACCTAACAATATGCATTTTTTTTTTTTCAGTTTCACTTTTCAAAAGTGCTTTTGAAATCTTGACCACATTTGGAAAACGAAGTATAGAGTTTTTGAAACTACTCCTTTTGACAAAAAGGCTAGCCAGAATTTGATAACTGTTTTAAGGAAAGTGGATTTGAAAGCAAATAAACCTTTAGCTTACATAAAATTAAATGTTTCACTTTTAAAATGGAAAACTAGAAACAAAATCATTATAATAATGAAATCTTAGTTACTAACCTCCTATAATGAGAGGAAGACAGATTACAAGTTATAATTTCATATATTGCATATTTTTAAATGTTCTTTCCTTCGAAGGACGTTCTCCTCAACTTAGGTGACTTGTATTTTTAGAAACATTAGATTTAATCAACTGCTCTATAGAATATTTGGATACCCAACGCCTTCCCATAAATGCTACTACCACTACCACTACCACTTATGAGGTTTCTTAATTTGTTTTCTACTTTTTGCATGTATTCAAAAATCAAACTAAGTTTTGAAAACTAAAAAAGTAGTTTTCGAACCAGCACAATCTTTAAAAACAGAAAAACCAAAAACAAAATGGGTTTTCAAACCCGTCTTAAGATTTTCTGTTATCTTTCATTTTATCGTGCAGTTCCAAATGGAAATCCAAATGCAGAAGATTGGCATGATCTGGCATTGTCTGAGGTAATTGTATTCTAGCATTGGTGTGAATTTGTTATTATATTGATGTATAAATACAATCATTGATCTGGCATTGTTTTGTTAATTGATTTCTTAATATTGTTTCTATTATTTATCTAAAAATGATTAAATTATCGGCATCCATATCGACATCAAGATTTCAATTTCACGGATATATCGATAAAATATTGATATTGAAAAGTATTTTTTTAATCATTAAGTCTGATCCACGGTTGTCTCCAACATCATCTACTATGGATGTTGGGAGTTTTCTTTTACATTTTTAGTAATGAATTCATGGAAGCATCATGGATGTCAGGACGTGAACTTTTTATAATTTAAATTCAGTGCTAAGCCGCTTTTTATTTATATATTTATTTATTTCAGGTGCAACGCCTCAGGACACACTTGCCTCTTTTGAAGAAGGCATATGTGAGGGCATCTGAACAGTGTCTGCAGGTACTAAATTGATTTCAAATAAATATTTTATGGAACAGCCATATTTGCTTGATCTTCATCAGACTCATCTCATTCTTATTTTAAACCACTTTTATGCCTTACCGTTCATGTATTCTGTCCATATCCCTTCATGGATCTTACTTCTTGTAGGTAGGACAAACAGAGAAGATGGAGAAGTACGAGCACGATAAGAATATACTGCAAAAAATTATCAACTTTTTGAAATTGCCCGAGGACAGAATCATATCTTACACCAAAGAGAGCTTTTATCGATGTGTGCAAACAATTGAAGAAACTCTGAAAGTTCATGAGAAAGGGAGTATAAACATCGCCAGTAAGAAGCAGCCCCTACATGGGCAGCCAAGCCTTTGTCAATCTCATACAAACCCAACTCAGCAAACTGATAGTTCTGATAGTTCTTCTCCTAGAGCGCCACGAGAAATAGGTTCCTTGAGGTCAGAAGCAGACTGGATTCAGAAATATACTCCGCGGAATAGGCAACATTCAGAAAAAATCGAGCAAGAATTTAAGTCCTCGTGGATAAAGCAGAATCAGAAGTCAACAGAAAATATCCAGGCAATTCGTAGATCAGGAATGTATTTGGAGAATCATTTCAACTCGAAATTCTTTCCTCAAACTCATGAGGCTTCACGGCTTTCTCAGATTGCAGAGCGAGCACTTCCCAAAATTGCTTGCAATTCATTGTATGGAAGAGCTTCTCCCACCTCTCCTTCAACAGATGGGCTTGGAAAAATTTCTTCAAATGTTTCCTCCCTTTGGAGCCCAATCTCTCAATTCTCTCGAGGATATAGTTCTCTCAAGTTACTTAATTCCAAATCAGAAATCGAAGTCCCATCTCATGAGATCAGAAGCTATAACACAATGACCTGTCGGCTTGCAGAAACTACTCGTTTTGGAAACAATGGACAATTGTCAACAACAACTCAGCCTCATAATCGCTTGCTTAAAGCAGTAAGTCTGCGTTTGAGAAGAGTTTATGTTGCATTTGCGTGATCTACTAGATATTAGCATAAGATCATTCCTTTTTGTTTCTTAGGCTCTTCCTATTAGTTGATTCTGGGAGAGAACAAAATCTTGCAGGTTGAGTCAATATCAAATGAAGCATTAAGAGCAGCTATACTAGAAATAAGTTCAGTTACGAATATGGAAGACAGAATCACAGAACCGTGGTTTTGCGAAAAGGAAACACATTTAAGCCTGCAAGATGGGGGCGGTTTCTCAAAGAATATGAAGCGAAAAATGAATGCAACAACCTTAAATGACATGCCATCGCCTTGCAGTGATATTGTTGGGTCTGAACCAACAGTTACATCAATAAGCAAGAAGCTCAAGAAACTGGTAATGCATAATCTCTGTCCATCTCTTTGAAACTATTATTTCTGCCCACTTTTTATTTTCCTTTTGTCTTATAGAATTATGCTGAAAATTGTGCAGTCTGATAATGCCCTATTGGAAGAAATGAGAAACATAAACAGACATTTCATTGAAACGGTCTTAGAGTTAGATACGGACGAGAATGTCAATAGGCGATTGGCCAATGCGGGTACCGTTCTTCGATGTTCATATAGAGGTGCAACCGAAGGCAAGAATTCAGTGTTCCATTCTGAAAACAACACACTAAAGGTGAGGTTTCTAGCTATTTTTCTGCTCCTTCTTTCTCCAACTTGTAAACTAGATGCAAAAATTGACCAAAATATTTATGAAAATTTGTTTCCATTAGTTGCCAGTGCTTTCAGTGAAGCTGCTTGTGCCCCTGGATTATCCAGAAGATTACCCTGTATTCCTAAGCAAATTGAACACAGACTGCGGGTATGAATTGTTATAAATAAATGTCCTTTTTTAACAGATAGTTGAAATGCACTAGTTTATTGTACATGTTTTTAGTACTGAGGATGGAGAATTTAGAGACATGTGGAGCAAAGCGACGTCCCTGCTAAGTGCATTCCTCCGCACCTCTCCTGTCTACTTGTCTCTTGAAGAGTGTGCAAAGGCATGGGATGAATGTGCTCGCGCTGTGGTATGTGATTATGCACAACGTGCTGGCGGAGGATGCTTCAGCTCTCGATATGGGAGTTGGGAGGACTGCGCCGCTACCTGACCTCCCTTTACTTTGAACAGAATTCAGCTGAACATACTATTTTGAACATAATATACCACTAGATTCTAAGATTCGCATATCAACACTAAACCATTATATAATAATCCATTGATGAACCCATGAGATCGCTTCCGAGTACCGGAGCAGGAGGAGGAGGAACGGGTATTTCTCCAAAAATGTTTTCCTCAATCTCTTTGTATTTGGAGAAACTTTCTCTGATCTTCACTCTTTGCCTCTCCTCCGGTAAACAAAGACTAAACTCTGGATAAATGAGAGGGAACACTATCTCCCTTCATTCAACCCTTTGAGCGAAATGTAGCAAAAGGAAGGAAAAGACATCTCTTTGTATTTGGAGAAACCATATTTATAAACCTCAAAAATATTTAGTGCACACCTCCCCCTTCTGCTTCGCTTGCCAAACATTATTCTCAAACTAAGTGTTTTTCTTTTTATTCTTTTCTTTCCTTATTTATTTATTTTTTCTACCAATTATTTTGAAACCTTTTCTAATCATAATTTCAATTAACTATAATAATTTAGTTTTGGTTTACTCATCTACAAGTTTGAATCATTATATTAATTTTTTTTTTGTTGACATTTTCATGAAAATCAGTATAATGGCTTACTAATTTGTTTTAAAAATTATAACAACATATTTATTTATTAATTTATAGTTTTCAAGTTTTTTTTTAAAGTATGTATGTAATATTTTTATAAAATTATTTAAGTGAGAAGCTCTGCTTTAAACCTTGGTCCGAGTCCACCGCCAGATATAAGAAAACGGGAGTCTCACACCAAAGGGTTTTTAGGGTTTAACACCAACGTCTCTGCCGTGGCTATTTCCATCCCCCCTCCTTTCCTCTCTTACACCTCTGCTACTAACCCCTTCACTCCTATCATCATCTCATCTCATCATGTGGGCTCTTCGTAGAGCTTCTACTCCTCTCAGGTATGCTTCTCTTCTTCTAACTGCACCTCTCCGCTTCTTTATTCCTTGATGCCAACACTCGCCACCCGAATACAAATGTTTTCAATCTTGTTTTCACTTTACACTTCCCTTCTTTCAATGGGTTTCGCTTTCGTTCACTATTTCTTCAACTAACATTCTTGCTTGCCTCTGATCGACTTTCCGGTGCTCATTACAGAAGGAAATTAAGTAGAAAGTTGTGTGCCATTTTTTCTCTTCCGTTTCTGGTTTTATTCGCATTCAAGCTCAAATCTGAAGCTTAGTTATTTCTACAATTTAAATGTTTCTGGGTTTCACAATCTATCTTTATAGTTGTCGGCCTATTATCAAGGGGGCATTTCCTTTTTTCTCTGTAAGGAAGAAGAAGTTTTGGAGATGGCAGTTCCCCGAAATCATCCATTATTAATCATTCAAACGACTGTTTTTGTATGTATGTATTTCTGTATTTCTGTATTTCTGTATGTATAATATATGTGCGTGTATATTGCGGTAACCGGTGCGGAGGGTACGATACCTCCAATTTTTCATATCCCTCTCTGAATTTTTTGTGTTCTCTTTCTAGGAATCAAGGATATAGAATAAGAACTTCGTACGTCTTTGGCAAACTAGAGGCGCCATATTCTTGGGAAGGAAATATAGTTGCTTCGGCTATCATCCCTGCTATATCTGATGGATGCATTTCTTTTGAGAGAAATAGCCTTGCAACATGGCGGCCCTCTGGGCTTTCTATTAGTAGCCATGGTCTATCTTCACAAGCTGGTGCTGAGAACAGTGGAGAGGAAGATGACTTGGAAGATGGGTTTTCTGAACTTGAAACACTTCCAAGCACTAATGCACTTGAAGATAATAAAGCAGCTGATGAAAATGAAGGGGAATTAACCTCTGAATCAGAACTTGATGATGATACTGTCGATGCTGGGACTCAAAATGAACTGGATTTACCTGAGCTTGAAACTGAGCTTGCTGAAAAGATACCAGCGAAAAGGGCTCCTTCAGAGCTGTTCAAGGCTATTTGGAGTGCTCCGGGTTCATCTGTTCCCAGTGCACTTGACAAGTGGGTCAGTGAAGGAAAAGAATTAAGCCGTGCTGACATCTCTCTGGCTATGCTCAATCTTCGCAGACGTCGAATGTTTGGGAAGGCTTTGCAGGTAAATTGACTTGATTTTACTTTTTCAAGCAATGGAATTCATTCGTATGGTTTTAGGTTTTGTCGCGCTTGGGATTTCGGTTCATTCGTATGGTTTTAGGTTTTGTCACTCTTGGGATTTCAGGATGGTAATATTGATAAATCTCTAACAAATACAAAATGATTTCAGGATGTATTTGTTAGTTGATTAAAATACAAATTTTAGGCTGGTAATCAGTAAACCCGAGTATGTGGATCAATTTTTTAGAAGTACCATTATCAAATGCTTCTATAGAAATTTGTTAAGCTGGCTTATGGCATTCAATAAATGGTGCCAGGACTGCGTATAGGATTTTCACATGGTTTGATATTAGGTTGAGCTGCATGTAACTGCTTGATTTATTAGTATATATGAATTTTGCATTTATTATTGTTAGTCTTATAAAGTCATTATTGGCAAGAAAATGGTTGTGCGAGTTTTAGCTATTTTATTGGTAAAGAATTTTGTAGCTACCGTGTTTTTTCTAAAATATTTTGCCTATTTGTTCAACATTCTTATTCATCATTTCTTCAACTCATTACTTGCATTGCTGTATGGGTTTCGCAGTTTTCAGAGTGGTTGGAAGCAAGTGGACAACTTGAGTTCGTTGACAGAGACTATGCTTCTCGCCTTGACTTGATTGCAAAGGTACATGGTCTCCATAGGGCAGAAGGTTACATCGCTAAAATCCCGAAATCATTCCAGGGGGAGGTGATATACCGAACTCTTTTGGCTAACTGTGTGGTCGCCAACAATGTAAAAAAAGCAGAGGAAGTATTTAACAAAATGAAGGACCTTGAATTTCCAATCACAGCCTTTGCTTGCAACCAGTTGCTTCTTCTTTACAAGAGACTTGACAAGAGGAAAATAGCCGACGTTCTGTTGTTGATGGAGAAAGAAAATGTCAAGCCTTCTCTGTTTACTTACAAGATCCTAATTGATGCTAAAGGCCTTTCAAATGACATGATGGGTATGGAACAAGTTGTTGATACAATGAAGGCTGAAGGAATCGAACTTGATGTACATACACTTTCCATATTAGCGAAGCACTATGCTTCAGGTGGGCTTAAAGACAAAGCCAAGGCCATCTTAAAGGAGATGGAAGATGTGAGCTCCAAAGAATCTCGATGGCCTTGCAGAATTTTACTTCCCCTTTATGGAGAACTACAAATGGAAGATGAAGTGAGGAGGGTCTGGAAGATCTGCGAGGCTAATCCTCGCATTGAAGAATGCATGGCTGCCATTGTTGCATGGGGAAAGCTGAAGAACGTCCAAGAAGCAGAGGAAATTTTTGATAGAGTTTTAAAAACATGGAAGAAGCTTTCCTCGAAACAATACTCTACCATGTTGAAGGTCTATGCAGACAATAAGATGCTGACGAAGGGCAAGGATCTAGTCAAGCAGATGGCAGACAGCGGTTGCCGAATCGGTCCATTAACATGGGATGCAGTTGTGAAACTCTATGTGGAAGCTGGGGAGGTAGAAAAGGCAGATTCTTTCTTGCAGAAGGCGGTCCAGAAAAACCAGATGAAGCCATTGTTTACCTCTTACATGGTTATCCTGGATCAGTATGCAAGGAGGGGTGACGTCCACAATGCAGAGAAAATGTTTCATAGGATGAGACTATCAGGTTACGTGGCTAGATTCAGCCAGTTTCAAGCTCTAATACAGGCATACATTAATGCCAAGGCTCCAGCCTACGGCATGAAAGAGAGAATGAAGGCAGATAATGTGTTTCCAAACAAAGCTTTGGCAGGAAAATTAGCCCAAATCGATGCATTCAGGAAGACAGCAGTGTCGGATTTGCTTGACTGAGGAATTTAATTTGATACTTGGGAATGTATAAACTCCTCGGATTTCAACTCTATTTTACAAATCAAGTATTTGTTAGTTAATCTGATGGCTGCGCTTTGAAATTTGACATCAGCATACCTGTTAGGACAAACAGAACTACATAATGGATTGTGCTGCACGTGTTTTACAACATATTTTGTTTGTTCGAATACCCATTATTACCAAGAACACTCTGGTTTTGCAGTAAACTCAAAATGGTTTACTTACTCAAAGAATATTATTTGAAAACCAAGAACACTCTGGTTTTGCAGTAAACTCAAAATGGTTTACTTACTCAAAGAATATTATTTGAAAATAAATTATAATATGATCCCTGGTGTAGGCTGATGTAATACAAATGTAAGTTACAATACAACCTATTTTCCCATTCAGTTCTGTGAAACATCACCTGAAAAGATTATTGTAATAAGCCATACAATATCACCAACCGACACTGAACAACTGAAAATGTGAAAGCTATATATATGTATATATCAATCACAAACTTCACCCTACACCACCATTACTCATCTTCATCCATTGTACAATTCCTATGACAGAAGCAGCTTCATCCAATGAAGCAGTGCAATTCTGTGTGGTCGCACACTTTAAGGCACTTGTTTGATAAATTTGACAGATTAACTAGAGATAACTCCCATGCCCCTTTCACTCTCGTGGCCGTGCAAGCCAGAGAGAGCTTAGAGCTCGAAGGCGGGAGAAGTAGTCGTTTATTGCAAGAAGCGCACGAGCCGATTGACGGGTTGTCAATATGCGATGCATTTGTTGAAGTGTTTGTTGACGAAGATTATCGGCCTGCAAGTTATAGAAAGAGAAGGAAAAATGAAAGTGAGAAAACATGGACAAAGATTTCAACTTTACTTGTTCGTTGCATAAGCAAGGTATAAATGTAACAAGATGGAACAGAGTGACATAAAATATAAAACCAAATTACCTGGCGTAGGAAGCCATCAAGAGTTCCAAGCTTTCCCATTGCCATGGCCATTTGACCCATATAATTAGCCACATTACCTGATGACCCCGACGTAGCAGGCGTGCCACTGGCCAACGTTTCAGCCAAGGATTGCTGCAATGCATCCATTCCTTGTGAGAGAGCATCTTCTGCCTGTTGTGATAATTGTTGCAGGTT